CTGCGGGGACCTGAGGGGCCTGGCCCCCCGAGGTGACCTGCGCGGGCCTCTCTTCTCTAGTGAAGAAGGACGACGAGGCCTTTGAGATCTCCATCCCCTTCGAGGGGGCGCCCCACCTAGACCCTCAGATCTTTTACAGTCTGAGTCCTTCTCGGGGAAACTTTGAGGGTGAGCTGAGGGGTGAAGAGGGGCCGGTCAGCTGGGGAGCATACACTTGTTGTGGTGTGACCCAGGCCCCTCCACGGTCATTAGAGCCCCCGGAGGCCGCGTCCCCCACGCTGGCCCTGATGAACGGGGTCAAGGCCCAGCTGCACATGGCCCTGGAGAGGAACTCCTGGCTGCAGAAGCGGATTGAGGACCTGGAGGAAGAGCGGGACTTCCTGCGGTGTCAGCTGGATAAGTTCATTTCCTCAGCCCGGATGGATGCAGGTGCGGGCACTGCCAGTTGTCTCAGACCCTGGCCCACTCCTGGGCACGTTGGTGTCAGATCGGAAGCCCCACTGTTGGGTGGCTTGGTGGGGAGCTGGCATCCTGGCCTTCTGCACCCAATTCCCTGCCTGTCTGGGGGACACAGAGCCCAGACTTCTGGTTTGAAGTCTATGATCGCTCATCCTAAGTACCATTTCCTGACGTCAATGGGCATCCCTCCCCCAACTCTACCGGCCTCAAGTCCCCCTTCCTCCATGGCCCAGACCCCTGGGAACCTCATTCCTCTCCATGCATGGTAGACCACCATCTTATCCTGCTCCTCTGGGTCTGTCCCACCTCCAGTTTCCAAGCATCCAGCTTCCTCTCATCTAACTGGTTGGAGGACCTGCCTTTCCATCCACCCCATCCTATCCCTTGGTTAATTCATGCTTCTTTCTCCTCAAAAACGTTAAAACCCTTGCTGGCAGATGCAGCCTTTTGCCTGGGTGGAGCTCTGCACATGGTGCCCCCCACCCCCACGGTGCTGGAACTCAGGCCCCAGATGCCAGCTCCTTCACCTCTCTGGACCAGAACTCTACTCCTTCTTACCCCATCTTCACACACCCCAAGCTGGGATCTTTGAGAACTCTCAAATGATTGCTCCCTCCCAAGCCTATACAGAAGCCTATTTTTTTGGGGGGGGCTTTTCTGTTGTGGGGATCCTAGCATTTCAGGATCTGGACTTCCCTGTCTCCCCATGCCTAGGGCCCCATCCCTGGTGACTGCACTCCTCTTCCCTGGTGGTGAGCCCAGAGGTTTCTGGGCTCATTGTGGACCCTGCCACCTCTACTGTCTCTGAATGAAGGTGGCCACTTTCTCTAAGCTCCCAGACCAAGCCCTGGTTTTTCTTAAGTGCCAGCCTCAGGGTCTCCAGGACCTGCTCTCTGGAAGTCCCTTTGGGGCCTCTGAAAATTCTTCCTGTAGGAAATGCCAGGCACAGATTCTCCCAAGGTCTGTGGTCCCATGGAGGAGCAAGGAGCCAGCCCCCTGACCAACTTTAGAAGCCTGAGAAGATGCTCCCCAACCCCAGTTGGTTCTGTGTGGCCAGTGTGTGGACTGTCCTCCCTGTCCACTTGTCACCCTGGGGGTTCAGCCAGCCAGGCCCTTTCCCTTGGGATCAGCGACGTGATGTGTGGTGTTGCAGTTCACTTGTGTCTCTCTCCCCAGAGGACCACTGCCGCATGAAGCCTGGGCCAAGGCGGGGGGAAGGGGACAGCTGGGCTGGGGCTGGGGGCGAGGCCTCAGACCCCGAGTCTGCCGCCTCCTCGCTCAGTGGGGCGTCTGAAGAAGGCAGTGCCAGTGACAAGAAGAGGCAGAAGCAGAAGGGAAGTGCCAGTCGGAGACGCTTCAGGAAGCCCAAGGCCCGGGAGAGGCAACGGGGTGAGTGCGGTGCCTGGGTTGGGGGTGTCAGTGTCAAGGAGCCGGGGTGTGAATTCTGCAGAAGCTCTTCTGGCCTCCACAGATGCAAAAAGACCAGACCTGGGGTCACCATCCAGCCTCGAAATGTGGTCCTGGGTTCACTCTCTAAAACTTTGGTCCATCCCCACCAGCAGGGTGGCCTCGGGTAGCTCCTTGGGCCTGTTTCTTCATCAGAGAGGAGGCCCCTGGGCCCACCTTACCAGCAAGCATCCATGCAGAGCTGGAGGAGGGGGTCATGGCTCAGGCGGTGGTCTGGGAGCCGTTCCCTGCATCCTGCCTCTCATTTCCTGTGAACTCCTGTGTCCCTGTCTCCTGTTTTTCCTCACGTTTTCCATTTTGTTTTTTTCCTGGATCGGTTTCCTTACATCCTTACCCGCTCTTCCTTTCGTGCGCGTGCTCCCCACCTCCTCCCTCCTCCCACGTCTGCTCTCCCGTTCTGTTCTTCCCCTGTGTACCGCCCTCTCCCTTGTCCACTTGTACCCTTCGACCTACAGTGAAGGACGCCGATGGGGTCCTCTGTCGGTACAAGAAGATCCTGGGCACCTTCCAGAAGCTGAAGAGCATGTCTCGGGCTTTTGAGCACCACCGCGTGGACCGCAACACTGTGGCGCTGACCACGCCTATCGCGGAGCTGCTCATCGTGGCCCCAGAGAAGCTGGCCGAGGTGGGCGAGTTCGACCCTTCCAAGGAGCGCCTGCTTGAGTATTCCCGCCGCTGCTTCCTGGCGCTGGACGAGGAGACGCTCAAGAAGGTGCAGGCGCTCAAGAAGAGCAAGCTGCTGCTGCCCATCACCTACCGCTTCAAGCGGTGATGCCGCCCCGCTGCCCCCGCCCCGCGGACCCTCTGCTCCCGGATCCCGGGCCGGGCGGCCTCTCTGCACCAGGCCTGTCCCTGCCCAGCGGGGCTGTCACCTGTCTCACCCGACCCCGCGGGGGCCGGCCTCATTCCATGTGAGACAGAATTATTCAGAGCATTTAAATTAAAGAGACGTGAAAATTTGGAGTACACTGGGCCCCCGATGTTCCTCGGAGGGGGCGGCCGTCGTCACGGAGACGGGGGGGCCGGGCGGCCTCTCTGCACCAGGCCTGTCCCTGCCCAGCGGGGCTGTCACCTGTCTCACCCGACCCCGCGGGGGCCGGCCTCATTCCATGTGAGACAGAATTATTCAGAGCATTTAAATTAAAGAGACGTGAAAATTTGGAGTACACTGGGCCCCCGATGTTCCTCGGAGGGGGCGGCCGTCGTCACGGAGACGGGGGTATGCGGCCGCGCCGGGCCGTCAGCCGGCCGGGGGCAAGTCAAGGAGGCCGACCCTATCCCGGAAGTAGCATCACCACTGCTTTCAGCGCCAGCGCCGCCCAAAGGGCGCCAGTGCCGTTACGTTGTCAAGG